TTTTAAATTTTTTTAATGTTTGATAAATTAAGCTAGGCTTGCCATTCGTCTCGGTTTTAACAACATATCCCGGTGTCCCGGCCGGGCATTCATTTTGTCCCGGTTTATGGAAGACAAGATAAAATAACTTTAATATTATTTTGTTTAATAATAAAACATAGAATTGGGTTTAATTATTAAGGCATTGTTTTAATTTGCAGTTAGTTCACATCAGACGTCATCGTAATATTAATTTATTTTATAATTCACTCGTTATTAAATTCGTCCAAGTCAATCGAAACTGATAGATATATACGTTAGACTTAGAGGTTTTTGTGGTGGAGAGGTAGAGTTTAAATGTTTTAATGTAACTAAACATTTACATAGTAAGAATGAAAGACATAAAAACGCTGGGGAGTAATACTGCAGTATGCCTATAGATGTATAACACTATTTTTTGTACATATGTAATTGTTAAAAATGTTCAAATATATTATTATTCTAYGATCTGGATGTGTCGTCGTCGTTTGTGCCTGCGTATTAAATAAGATTGTGAATCGTCTCCTGAAATTAATGCCGATTGCCGAGAGGCGACGATTGACATTTTCTACAGATGATATAGATACTAATATATTACAATATTATATCATCGATTATATTATATTGCATCAATACGATAAATTCAGTGGCGCAATCAGAGGAGTTATGACCCTCCCAAAATGTTTTAAAAAGTCAAATAAGTACTTCAAAGTGAAGACCTTTTTTTGATAATTAATTTTTTTACATGTATAACGACCCCACCCGAAAATAGATCCAAATTATGCCACTGGATAAATCCAAAGATGTATATTATAATACAACTTTGAAATAAAAGAGGTCTGTGTATACGATTTKTTCATTTCAGAATGAAATGTCRTAAAACAATTAGCAAAATGTATAATTTTAATTTTAAATAATAACAATAAACAGTATTGTTTCAATTATTTTTTTATTTAATTATTGATGAAGATGGTATTTAAATATTAGAAGCACACTCATATTTTTATAAAACTTTTTATGAATTATAATTATTGAATATAAATATCATTATGAATAAAATAAATGTGATTACTGCTTTCCAGTAGATAGTGCAAGTTAATATAAAGGGGAAATATACAGCGAATACATCAAATTTAGCGTACACACTACATGTCATGTACTTCCATAATTTTATTCACAGGTGATAAACCAATAACTATTGATTAATTCAATATACTATAACTAAATAACTAATGTCTAATACTCTAATACATTAGGTAAACCTATTGCCTATGTACTATACTAAATTAGTAATTACTAATAGAATATCAAATGACTTATTGTAATACATACTTACCGTGATGTTGCCGTCATTTTTAATGTGAGTATACTACGTTGAAGAACGAAAAATATAAATATTTATTTTTACTATAAAAGGATTGGAGGGAGATTTAATTGACARCCAAAAAATAAAAATAAATTCTATTACATTTTAAATATATCAATACAAAATTATAAAAATTAATCATTTAATTAAATAGTATATACAATATTATGTAGTAGGATAAAATACCGACGACGACGATTTCGGGAATTATCATCGACAGCGATTATTGTTCAGGAGATTCCTTAGAGTAATAATAAATTAATAATTAGATTCATATTTCTGTAATATTTTTTATTTTTACATTTCTGTCGTGTGCTCGTGTGTCACTAATATAACTGTTTCCAGTGCACGCATTTGCGCAAATCCTTTGTTGTGATTGGTTGGTTAAGTAAGGTTACCACGTGATTAACCACKTTATCGTACGTTACCTAACCTACCGTACAACGTTTTACGTGTATTCAACACACGTGTATAGTGGAAACCCGCTGACCACTATGGACCTATATTGGTCAATTACCCATTGTTGGTCGTAGCACGACAGTTTAATAAAAACCTACCAACGATGGTCTAGCGCACAGAAGTGATAACCGGTAAGTGATATTTACCAAATTGTTCAGGACAAATATTTGAAAACACGGTACGTGTTTAAACTTTTTTTTTTTTCTTATTATCGACGACGCTGCCGGAATTGCTTGCGCATAATGCGCATTACGTGAACAACGTGTTTAAACTTACTCGAAACAACAATGCCATATTATATAGGATAGGATATCCTATATATATTATATAGGATTATACATTATATGGAAAATTAAATGAAGAATTATATAGAGTAGGGAGTAGGTACTAACTCATTTTCACAATAAGTGTCAATTAGGTTCCATATCTGTATGCTAGACTATAGATACTATATCATTTTATTTATGCCTTACTATCAAGTCGAATTAATCTTATTTGATATCAAATAATATTTAACAAAGAATCGTTTTTAAATTTAAAATAAAAAATATTTAGTAAAAAAAACTAATTATAAAAATCATGTAGGTACTTTTTAGGATTTGTTTGAGAATATGTCTAAAATGCTCTTTACCAACCTCCTCGCAATTTTTAATTATTTTTTTAAACGACTTGTGTTTTTATGCTTAAAACGATGGTGTAAACATTTTTACTGGAAACTTCTATGTTTTAGAAGTTAGCCTTCCAAAGTCTGCGATTTCACGTTAATACACATGCGCGACGTGTGCTACACTATTGCCAAGCGTAACGCGTATAAACGTAAAATTGCAAACTTTGGAAAGCTATAACTTCTAAAATAATGGTTTCCAGTTAGGAATGGTTGGTGGATGAGATGGCCTGTAGAGTAAATCAGGTCTCCTTGGTTTTGTGTTACTTTAACTAGTTTAACCAATAAAATAAAGTTAACTTGTTAGGTTATACGTCTGCCTGAACCTTGTCCTCCCTAGCAGAATGTCAGCTAACACCAACTGGATTACTGGACTGACAATAAGAGTGAATAATGTTGTCCTGCATGCCATCTTTATATGCACAGAAACACACAATGTGCACCAAAATTTGAACATGTGTGCACTACATTTACAAAAGTTGGAGTGCAAATTTATTTTACTTTTTGATGATAAAAAAAGTAGTAGATATTCAATTATATACAATATGATTAATTTTTAAATATAAATCATATTATTTATGCTATATTATTTTATAACATGATGTTGTTACCAAAAATATTTCTTTAGCCCGTTTACCTATAACAACTGATATTACAATAGTTGTAATAATAAAATAACAAATATTTTTTATTTTTCATATAATATATAATTTATTTAAAAAAATGTATGTATTTATTATCATAAGTTATATCAAGAATTTTAATTATTTACTTAGTAATTATAATACAGATTTTATTTATTGTTGATTATTCTTCGGTGTACAACTATTAAACAGAGCTTCTTTAATTGTTTGAGACATTAATCCACATAATATTTCGATTGTAGCTTTATTGCTATCTTTTGTAGCTTTAACCAATTTATTTTCAGTTTTAGTACGATCAACAGGCTCAAAAAATGTACGACTCAAAGAAGTGTCTGCTTGTTCTAGCTTATCAGAAAGATCATTTATTTGACCCGTCAGGTAATCGGCATTGGTTATTAAACTGGACGAGCTTAAAGTGTTCACCCAATATTTATTCCATAATGAATCCAATAAACGTCGATCCAGGGAAGATTTGAAATAGTTTACTTCTAATGAATAGTATTGTTTACAGTGTACTCCAAAGTCTTCAATTTTATTTAATGGAATAGTTTGATACTCAGACGGTTCTTCATTTGCAGGCTTATACCCCTAATAATTTTAAATATGTTTTGATTAGTATTAWAGTCAAACTTAACATTAAAGATTAAATRTTAAGAAATTATATAAACTTGCCTTAGGATATGTACGAAATGCCCCCAAACAAACTTTACCAGCAGATATTGTTCTAACTGGATCAATCACAATTGCTACAAAAGGTTCTTGAAAATTTTGATTCAACATTTGTGTTGAAACATCAATACCTGATAACCAGCATCCATAGCCAGGGTGGCTATGATACCAACCAATCGCATTTTCTTGACGTCCCACCTAGAAAAATTTAAAAATAATATTTAATTTTAATATAAGTTAAATTCTGTTGAATATGATTTGTATCCCTTGATATTTTAACATTTAGACCTTTATTACTAAGTATAGGAATAATTTATATATTTTTTCTCATTTAAAAAAAATATTTGTGATATTCTGAACCATTCAACAAAAGTTATATGATACATATTATTATGATGTTAATTATAAATAAATATGTACATAATAAATTGTACTATGATAGTGTCAATAGAGTTAACACGAACTGTATTAATGCAATGTAATTTCATCTAAAACTAAGTAATATAGTAACATGAAATAATAACAATATTATCATTATAATATTAATTTTTTTCCATAAAACTTATAGGGTGTAATGTTTGGAAATAATTAAATAAAAAATTTATTTTTAAATTTTTAACCAAAACATTAAAATAAATTAAAAATGAAATAATTATTGTAGTTCTTATTTCTGTGTCTTATAAAAAAAATTTTGATATCCATTATTTCATGAGATATCGCAAAGCGTAAATCTTCTCGGGACATCCTGTCTATATATTTGATGATTAATTTATATTAAGCAATCCATACAATTTAGTATAATAAGCACAAGTTATGTTATATTTAAGTTTTTTTATAAACTTCAGTGGAAACATAGTTCACTGACAAGTGATAATACCAAATWTTTTTGCAATTAACTCAAACTGATATGAAAAATAAAAATAAAATATAATATTCAATATAAACTTACAACTTTAGCAGATTCAATATATGCCGTCATGTATTCATAGGCTTGTGCTTGGGCATTGACTCTTGTTTCTGTTCCTTCAACAGGTAAAGCAAAAGAATCCATGACAATCATTGTATTACCTTCTACTTTGCCTAGTAATAGACCCATTATTTCCAAAATTCCACCAGATCGAGCATGCATCACCATTTTTAATAGTGCTAATGCAGATATTTTTATATCTTTAAAATAATGTGGACTGAAAAATGTAACAATATTTATATCAATACAAAGTATTAGGTATATTAACATTAATATATTTGGTATAAGGGATGGCTAGTGGGAGCTGAGGCTTTTGACTTCCAAGACTGTAGAAATTTAATCAGGTGTTGAGCTCATGATAAATTTAAAAACCAATTCTAATTAAATTTAACTATTTCATTTAAAATTATTTAAATAAGTTAATATTATTATTATTAAATATTATTGTACACATAAATGTCAAAAACATAGTTAATTTAAAATGAAAACTAATTTACATAATAGATGTAGTGATCCATCAAGCATGCTCATTTATTTTTTTTTTTTTAACTATAGGTACATTATTCCAATTTTTGAAAATTTTAAATAAATGTATAAGCAATTGTATCTTCACAGGACACTATTTTAACACAAAAATCTCAATAATTTTAAAATATAGTCTTTAAAATCATATTTAACAATTTGATAAATCATAAATTGAATAAATTTATTATTAAAAGAAAAGTGAGCGTGAATATGCTTATCACACTCAATATGCCGGAGCATTATAGATCAATTATTATAGTTTGTATAAAAAAAATATAAACATACTCTTTTTCCCAAGGTTTAGCAGTCAAAATATCTTGTTGTTGTTGTCTGTCATATTTGTATATGTCGTCAACTGTATTAACAGTTTGAACATTATTTTCCAACTCCCATGTCTTTTTGGCAATGATTTCTTGGGAATCTCTTGATGTAGACGCCATACTATAGATATACCTAAACATGAGCAATGGTTAAGTCATACACTAAGCCTATTGAGAAAGTTAAAATCATAATAATCATTTTTACTTTTAAAATATATGAATATTTAATAGGTATCTAGCAACCATAAAATATGAATAATTTTTTTAACTTCAAACAGGAAATTATTAAATTATTATATTTCGAATTTTTGTCCACTCTCACAGTCTCACCAGCGAGCTTTAAGTAAAAAGTTCAAATTATCTAGTATCTACAACTGAGAGCTGCTGTTTTTTTTTCTTCTTAATAAACATTTGTCATGCTCATAGCAATAATTGTAAAGGCTAAATTAAAAATTAAAATGAAAAATTGAAAAGTGATAAGGATAAAGGAAATACTCGGCTCTTTAATTTGGTCGTCCATGTTGAAGGGCTCATCAGTGTTGACCTAAAATTTAATATGAAATGTTTTCATTGGAATAAAATATAAATACAACAGTTTTTTCCACAAAATAAATGATGATGTGAAAAAGATTTAGGTATCAAAATCTTTACTTAAACAGTAACAAATTAGAATTTAGAAGTTATTTATTTATTTAGATATTATCTAAGTTTTAAACGGTTCTGCCGATCTATTCTGGCTCAATTGTATGGATTAAATAATAATAAAATTAGTTTCTTCCATGACATCCACTCTTTCGGCTGTCGAATACCTAGAATTACGGGAAATATAATATTATCACAGAATCGCTCGGAAATCTACTTTCAATGATTCAACTGTTACATATTTTGATAATGAAATATGGCGGTTTTTTTACCGTAAAATTGTAAACACTAAACTGTATTGCCTATAAACATCAAGAATTTGACTAAGGTGCGTTTTTCAAAAAAAATTATCGTGTTTCTATCAATCTATCAGTTTAAAGTTTAAAAACAGTAAACACACACTATGGTTTACAAAGATTTTTATATTTACACTGATCGAAACAAATTGCTTACACCTTCTACCATAGAGTATAGGGTTGAGAAGTTATTAAAACCCAAGGAATTGAAACCTCATATAAAAGGTGAGCTTTTTGCAGTAATACTTGGAATGTTAACATATTTGTTTTTTTGATGTTTTCAGCATGCTACGAAGAATTGAAATCAGAAGGTGCACAGTCTATATTTAAAAATTTTGATAAAATTTTTTCAATGATTGAATATATAGATCAGACTGACTACAATGAATTACATTTCGTTTATGAAAATATTCTTGTTAAAAGTAAGTTATATTATACTGCTTTATAGTATATTAATTTGATATTATTGTTATATTCACTACAAACATTTTTAAAGTAGGTACCTACTTAATACTATAAAATATTATTATTATTTATTTATGATCAAATGGACTATTTAGATTCACTCTATTATAGAACATGTCATTTAAATTAATATTTTATCTGTATGATACTAATTATGTTTTATTATTTCAAATCATAATTTTTAGTACTGTTGCTTTGATTTATTTTTTCTGTTTTGTCATAGGTATCCATTTGATAAAATTGTAATTATTATATTTAATTATCAATCTTTAAATATTATAATTTGAATTTGTTAGTTATTATTGCCTTAAAAGTTATAAAGTTTCAAGTTGGTCTATTTTAAGAGGATGTCAGCGCACTGTTTGTTTCCTCTTTCCGGCCCATGTTCAACATAGACAAAACACATTTACTCAGAACCATTTTTTTCTATGTTCTTAAGTTATCTTATAGGAAAAACACCTATTACAAAAAAAGATAGAGAATAATATTTTTGAGGGAATGACATATCAATAATATTATATTTTATTGTTATTTAATTTTGTATTCAACTTTCAAAATAAACAAAAAAATTTTGTAAATTGAAATGATATTTAAATTGTTTCCAGATAATATTTAGAAAATCGATATGTCATTCCTTCAAAATTACTATTTTTTTTGTCTTTTTTTGTAATTGGTGATTTTACTCTAAGATTACTTTAAAACATAGCAAAAATTATTTCTGTGTAAATGCGTTTTGTCTATGTTAAGCGTTGGCCAGAGAGAAAAGCAAATAGTGCGCTGACATCCTCTTTATTCATTTTGCCTGTAACACCAACCTAACCTAACCTTTTAAAATATACCAATACCTCAAGGCGTGTAGCCAAGATTAAGATTATCAAAAAAAAAATACTAAAAAAAAACACTTTAAATGTTATGAATGGAAAGATGGATGATGAAAATCAAAGTTTTGAAGTTACTAGTAAATTATAACTCCCAGACATGTGAAAACTTTAAAGCCCTACCACTAGTAGTATAACTATAATTAAAATCTTGGGGATGCTACAATTGATCTAATGTTGTACATTAATATATATACTAATATAACTAATACTAGTATAATTTCTAACAAATCTTTTAAAACATTTACTAAAATTATAAATAGGCATTTTGTAATTTAAGATTATTTTGTAATGATAATATCACCAAAATTTAAAAAATTAAATAATAATAATAAATTCTTAAAAATAAAATCTCATTATTTAAGCTATCGATATTTGAAATTTATTATGATTTTGGACATGTGGATGTTTAAGCGCTCCCATAGTTGTGCCACTGTCCGCCACTCAGATTTGTTATTTTGCAGCCATTCAAACTAATAAATACATCAGATAATACGTTCCAATAAATAAATAAATAATAATAACAAATAGTATATGTATAAGTAATAGTACTAAATTCATCTTTTGATATGTATAGTAACATATAAGTGATTCAAAGATCTATTTGATTGAAAAGAACATTCAAATTATTATTGTGGATGGCTGCAAGATAGCTAACTTGAGTAGCAAACCTATAAAGTTTTCACATGCCTGAGCAGGAATATAATCCACCAGTATCGTTTTTTACTTCATATACAATTTTTAGAAATTTTTGACCCATAATTGTACAAGTTTAAGGTCTAATAGAACTTAGAAGGAGAGACTTTTATATTATGTTTCTAATAATTCTGAAGATTCCATCATTCCATTAATAAGCTTACATATACACTTAAGTTAATTAGCTAATATTTGTCTATTAACTAGCAACTCAATTACCGTTATGAAAACAATTTTGTATACCTATTTTATAAGTATTCATATGAATGAATATTTTATCAATTTTGTCTATTAAATATTAATCCAATCAATTATTTTATGAAGTCTATTAAGTTGTATAGGTATAACATTTCATTTTATAACATCAAATACAAAAAGACAAAATCATGTTTACAATCTGTAATTTAATATAAAATAAGTAAATTTGCTAAACTAAACTAGTTTATAACAAACGACACTGTATATGGAGGGAGGCTCACGTGTAGTGTATCAAATACATATCCTACAGATTAAACAAATAATATGACATACAATTTAGACATATAGCCATATAAATCTTCCTACGTATAGTTTTTATTTTGTTTGAAAGTATACATTAAAAGTTAGTACTCAAATTTTACTTATTATTTAATTTTTTAATACATATTATAAATTAGGGCTCATATTTCCTTATGTTTAAATTAAATGTTTTTGTTTTTAAATTTTATGACTAACTACTATAACAAGAATAATTTTTTTTAGGTTTAAATATTATTGCATCATTTTTTTCAAGTTATGGAGAGATTGAAGATATGTCACTAGATCTACGACATCAGTTTACAAATATCATAAAAATGAATGTTTATCTCTTTGTTGAATTTGTTCATAGTTTTAATGCAAAATTTGAAACTGATTATAAATTATTACTTCTTGAAACAAAAGTATTTTATTTTCACCAAATAACCCATACTTTATTAGTCAATACTTGTACACAAATTTTAATTACATTGAATTTTGTTATAGGGTAGAAATAAAAAGCAGGACATGATTCAAAAACATACTTCTGATTATGATTGGAATTGGGAAGATAAATTGAGTATTGGATTGAACGCAATTAACAGTATTATTTCAAATAATATCACTCAATTATATGATCCTCCTTATATTGATCATACTTTTATATCGTAAGTAATAAATTATAATAATTTTTTCTAACTTAGTTATTGTTTTTCCCCGTATTTTTAGGTATGTTGCTTCTTGTTGTTACACTCAGTTGGAAAATCCTAGTATTGCTTTTGTACGAACCAAAACACTTCGTGACAGTATTATGCAAATTCTAGAAATACTTATTACTGACTATGATCATACACACGATTTTAAAATCAAAGTAGTTCAAGTAAGTTTAATATTATATTATATTAATATTTATATTATATTTGTTTGCTTATTAAACTACTTATATCAATATGTGCATGATATAAAAAGAGAAATATCTAGGTATATAATTTAAAATTTAAAATTAAAATTAAAATCTTTTGTGAAAAAAATTCAATTGAACTCAATCCTTAAGCCGGGTTTACACGACGCAAATCTGATGCGAGTGTCAAGATTCGACATGATTCGACCTGTCTGAACTTGCCTCGGGTGATAAGCGAGGATGCCTTGTGGCGAGCGGTAGCTCAGTCGGTATTTGGACGCGCGTCAAAGAAGATTCGCCAATTTGTTTTGAGTCGTGTGAACTACTTATTTGAGCATCTTGCCTCACACGTAGCGCCATCATTGCCTCATATAAACTGTGGCTCACCCTGAATCACATTGCTTTGCGCATAGATACGWWWCGTGTAATCATTTAGGTGAATCAGATGTCTCGCAAAGCAGACTCGCGCCGTGTAAACCCGGCTTTAGTTTAATTAAGTCAAACCAAGACAACACAACTAGCTTAAATGTTCATATACAATTAATGTGATTTTATAATTCAAGACCAAATCATAGTTTGTTTAATTGTTTTAAATAAAACTGAAATGTAATTTATTGTCAACAAATTGTGTCTAATATCATTAATATATTCGAACATATTTTTAACCTGTTGTCAATATATTAAATTTATGTTTATTTAGCTGCTGAAATTGTATGAACATTTGTCATTGCCCTTGGCTAACACTGTTATACACATAATTGAGTCTGGAGATAATCGTTCTTCATTGATCGAACTAATTGTTAAAGAAATCGCAGAAACAGGAGAAATGGAAGGTATAAAAGAAACAAGTAGTCAAGAAATAACTGGTGGTAAATCTTGTTGTGCTTTTCTTGTGGAAATTGCCAGGCATTGCCCTCAATTGTTATTGCCAAATATTGAGCATTTGTTGCCATGCTTAGAATCTGATGTAAGTAATTTATGATATTTATGATTTAGAAAATATTTATTAATTATCTGGTACCTATTTTTTTTTTATGATAATTATTATTTTTTATTTCAGCCATATACTATGAGAATTTGTGTCTTAAGTGTTCTGAAAGAATTGATTATTCATGTTTTAAATAATGATGAATTGGATGAACTTCAGAGGAAAACGAGAGACGATTATATAACTATTATGCAAGATCATCTATTTGATGTAAATGCTTTTGTTCGATCTAAGGTAAGTACACAAAATATTAGTTATTTTATTTGTTCATTATTTAATCTAAAAAAGTTTAGGTGCTACAGTTGTTTACGGCCATAATAAATGAAGACTGTTTACCAAAGCAGATGTATGGGATAATATTAAATTGTGCAGAGGAAAAACTATCTGACAAGAGTTCATATGTTACTAAAAGTGCTATTCAACTAATCAAAACATTAATCAGATTAAATCCATATAGTTGTGATGTAATGAATTATAACAAATATTTTATCAAATTAATATTCTAATAAGCGAATATTAGTTTACAGAAGAGAAACTACATGAAAAAATAAGAGAAGAAAACTGCTATTTAAAATGCATGAAAAGAATGCTTAAAGTCAAAACAGATTGTGAAATTAACAAGGAAGATATGTGGCCATCAATTGAGACACCTTTAAATTTATTTTTAGAGGAAACTTTTGAAGGTAAGTTTTGTTAGTAAGTTACCTATCAATAAGTTAACATTTTAGTTTTTTTCTTATGGAAAATATTAGCTGGGATAAGTAGACCTTAACTGTTCCTAAAGAGAATAACTATTTTTGTTGGTTCATGTTGACTGGCAGTTACAGCAGTGCTGAACTTAATTTCACACTCATAAAATGAGTCTAGAGCTAATATTGTCTGATGGTTTTGTTCAAACACCTGGTCTGGTTAAGTGTATGTTGATTAGGCAGAACAATATGAAACTAGTTTATTTCTGAGTTGTCTGTTAAAAAAATTGTCTAGGTGAAGTCAACAAATTAAACTGGATATTGTTTTTTTGAAAAGAGTATAGTTAAATTGCTCGTTTGGTAGAATAGTTTATATGTTCACCTATAGAGGGATAGTTTCTGTTATATCCAATTCGTAATTGCCATAGTGCCACCTTAGTATACTCAATTCCTCTCCCTATAAATAGGTACATAGAATAACGAAGTAGTTCAAAAATAAAATTTGAAACTTGATTTTTAATAAAGGTAAATCATAGGATAATATTGTCATTCTTTATATCCTTATACAACCTCCAATTTCAACACAYTTTAATCATGTTTCAAATAGTCTTGTATCTAAGTAATATTAATAAAATCTCAAAGGTTAACATTTGTATTGTATAAATTAATTTAAATCTGACRCTAAGTGTTAAATATTTAATTTTTATTAATTTATAATAAACTAACATCAAACTTTTTTTATCAATCTTAAATGAATAGTGATGAATGTTAATCTACTTATTAATTGTTTGGTGGTGATTTCTAATTAAATGAAATACCAATTTTAAATTAATTAGGTATTATTATTTATTATAATTTTCTAATTTGTATTTAAATAAAAATATAAAATGAAATATGATTTTAGATACAAGTTTAGATGTTTTTGGCGAAGTCGAAATATTGAAGGATATGGAGTTACCTGATATTTTGATGAAGATAAAAAGTTATATTGGTTCCCAAAAATTTAAGTTGGCTTTAAAATATGTATTACGTGGAAGAGAGACATTCAAGGATGAATCACTATTCCAGTAAGTAGTATTAATTAACTATGTATATTTAATAACTGTATAATAGGCCTAATAGGGTTGATGATTTATATTATACTCTGAAAAATTAAGCCTGATAAAACTAACTATTCATTTAAAAGAAAAATTAACATTTGATTATGTCTTGACTTATATTGAGATAGCATTTTAAATGTATTACTGAATAAATAATGTACCATGTATTTGTATAATAGATTTAACTATAAAATGTAAAAGTGTATCTAGTGTGTGAGCCAAATGTACTCTATACTAAATTGGTTATTACTTATTTCATTATTTTAGTTTTTAAAATTTGTACATTATAAAAACCAGGAAATTCAACTCTGCTATAAAAGTTGTCGAGTATACCATGTCATTTATTAGTGTAAATTAATTTTTTCGGAAACTAATATACTGCTCGTGTGTATCTATTAGCATTATCCTTTTTGTGTGTCTCATACTAAGTAAGAACCTGTTGTGTTGCAATTTGGTGATTGCCAACTGTAATTTGTATGGTATTCAGTATGTGAGTAGATATTGTGGTATAGTTTTAGTTGTACACATACTATATTGATTTAGATTTCTTTTTATGCCTTTAAAAAAATCTAAAATATTTTAACCTTTTTTGCTCATTCATTTCTAAATATGTTAAAGAATTTAATTAAAATGTTTGTTATCATGCATTACCATAAAAATAATAGTTATAATTTTATTATTTTTTAATATTGTTCAAAAATATTTAATTTTAGACTGAAAGATGAAAATAATTTGCCAAAACAATTTTTTTTATTGTTAAAAAACATTTGGTACTGTGAAAATACAACGATTTCAATTGACTCAATTAACATAGACAATTTAAAGCGGATGAACATTGAAGAAATACATTTTCTTATTATATCAACAGAAACTAAAATTGCATACCTTCAGGTATGTAATATACTTATTTATTTATGATTTATACATTTTTTGAGAAAATAATATGCAATTCAGCCCTACTATAAAGTTTGTAATAGGTCCCAAGAAGTCAATTTAAAAAGTGGGCAAGTGGGTTTCACTGCAAGTCTGTATTTGTTGTATAATATTATTATACATTTTTTTATTAATACTATTAGTAGTATTCAAGTAGGTTGCATTAATTTTTACCAAAAACATTCCATTTGAAAATGTAATTTTGTGCTTAATACATTTAAATATACTTTAAAAGTTTCAAGTACCCATGTATAATATTTTCAATAAGATAATTAAAATTGCTAATATTTKTTTAAATATTTAATTTTGTCCAAATTTATAAAGTATCTATTTTATATTTTACATTTTTAATCTTTGACTGCAAACAACAATTCAATTTCAGGATTGTGCCGATTATTTACACACTATTAAAAAAGCATTAATTACAATAAGTCAATTGATGTTTGGAAATACTTCATCAGAATCATTAGAAGCTATTGACTTTTTTACAACAGCTTATAAATTTGGTGTACCTCATTCGCAGTGTGGTATTGACGCTATGCTAACATTGATATTTTCATCTGATTCAAATATTAAAGAAGCTATGATGAATTCATATAAAACAATATATTTGAATTTTGAAGAAAAAAAAGACTCGGCTGAGTCTCAGCACCACACTRCAACCGTAATCAAAAACATAATATTGATTTTATTTTTGCAACAATAATGTACTATAATACTTATTTTTAGATTATGACCAGACTCGTAAGTTTAATAAAGACTTTGAATGTAATTAACAGAAGAGCATTTAAAGCTTTACTAAATGAATGGACAAAAAATAAAACACTAGATGATGAATGCATTATGGTGTTATGGGCATGGGTGACTAAATCTAAAGATATTTTTGATGAAGATCGAGTAGTTGCTGCTCTTATTTTATCATTGCTTGCCAGGTATTAAAATAATTTGTAGAATAACTTTTATGACTATTATATTTAATGGTCATAAAATTGACCATGTTGACACCTTATTTTTGAAATTTTTTTCAACAAAATTAATATTGTTTAGTTGATTAAAAGAATATGCTATCCTGTTGATTAAAACCTCATATTCACTAAATTAAATGATGTTTATTTATGGATAATTAAAGTTCTACTGTTAAACATATAAATATGAATAATATTTAATATTAGTATTTTGATTCTTGTTTTGATTATAAAAGTTTACTATGAAGAACAAATATAGTCAAAAATTAAACATATGTTTTAGTACTATTTGTAATTTATTACAATAATGAATTAATTCAATGTTTTCTTTAATTATTCCAGAATTTGTTATCCTAAAATTAAATTGTAGTTGTTATTGATTATTAACACTAAAAGAATTTATTCATACTTAAAAGTCTAATGATAAATTAATTGATTTTCACATCATTTGTATTTTTAATATTATAATCGGTGTGTATATTTTTAAATACATTTTTATTTTTTATTGCAGCGCACAGCCTTCTATTGCAATGGGGAACTTAGAAAGTATTCTTCAGTATGGATTATGTAATGAATTTCATTTATTTATTTATACTTGTCAAATATTGGAACCAATTGCTCAAGAAGATTTTAAAAGGTAATTAACATTATTATTTTATTTTAATAAATATATATAGCATTTTTAATGTTTAAATAGATTTACTGATAATCACGAACTAGTTAAAAGAATATTTAATGTAGTACAAAAATGTTTTAATGAATGTAATGTTCAATTATTCAATGATGTTGCTACAAATGCTGTTAACATAATTTATAAAGTAAGCTATACTTCTTTTAATAATAGTAATTTAAAAAAAAAASAAAAAACAAAATACTCCAATTGTGTTTATGTTTTAGTTGACAACTCAACCAGATGCTACTTGTATGACATTGATTAAAAAGTTGTATAAATCAATGTTAACTAATAAAAATGGTAAGCTAATAATGTATGATTTAAAATACTACTAACCTATTCGTTTTAAACATTAAAGAAAAAAATGTTTTTGTTCCATTTAAATCTATTATTACTTAATTATATCTATAAATTATTTTTTAGGTTCCTCTCAGTTGAAACAAAAATATGTTCAATTAAATACTGTTACGTTTGCAAAATTTATTTATGTCATTGGTCACATTGCACTACAGTAAAAATATTAGATTCTTATTATTAATATATAATATTATTACATTTACTATTTAAACATAAATTATTATTTAATAGGCAGTATGAACATTTAGAAAATTATGTTGCAAAGGAATTAATACAAAATGTAAGAACTAAATACCAAACTAAAAAATTAAAAATGGACAAAGCTAAAGAAGATGAAGTATAAAATAAATAATTGTATTATTACTTATAGTGTCTATAAACATTTTTTTTCTTTTATAGAATGTACATGACTCTGAAGCTGCTGAGATCGAGACTATATATGATCGAATTCGACAAATATGTGATAAAGAACTTTTAAAGGGATATGGAGTCATTACTTATTTTTCGTAAGAATTTAATATGTTTATTATAATTAATTATAACTTAGCTTATATTTTTTCAACYTTTCTACAGAAAACATGTATTAAGAGCGTGTAATTCAAATGATCCATATTTGAAGGCAAATGGTATTAACTCTTTGGTCAAGTTTATGATGATTTCCACTACATTTTGTCACAAACACCTACCGGTTTGATTTTTTTTTTTAAATTAATTATAGGTAATAAATATTATTAAAAAATTATAATTTTATTATAGACATTTCTAAATCTAATTGAAAATCCAGATACCTTGGATACAGCTATTGATATCATTTCTGGATTTGGCTGGTTGGTTTATAGACATCCAAATTTGTTGGAGCCTTGTACTGATAAACTCTATGCGAGGTAAAGTTAAATAGTAAATTCTATTAAAATACTCAAATTTAAAATTAAATATTTTAAAAATGTTTTAATTTTCAAACGTTGAATACATTTAAGGTTACAAGACAAAAATAATAAAGTTCGCTATAGTACTTTAGTCACCATTATAGACCTTTTACGTCAAGAAATGATCAAAGTTAGAGGACAAATTGCTGGTATTGCCAAACTACTTGTTGATGAAGAAGAAATCATTAACTGTATGTTTGTAAAATGTTAAGATGTTTCAATATTATTTAAACTAATTAATATTGAATACTTACAGATACTGCAAAACAATTTTTTGTCGTTATTGCTGATAAAGGAAACACTCTATACAATGTGTTATCTGATATTATTTCAACCTTGTCCAACCCTGATGATTTGGTACCAGAAAATGACTTTCAGTCAATTATGAAGTAAATATGTCTATTCAATATTTAATACCTATGTTCAAAGTATATGTGTGTGAATGTATACAAATATACTAGTATTATGCTTTTACTTTTTAGATTTTTACTTCCACTTATTAACAAAGAACGCCAAATTGAATCTTTAGTTGACAAATTATGTCTAAGACTAAAAGAATCAGATAATAAAATTCAAGAATATTATATATCTTATTGCTTGATGCTTATTAAATATACCGACAAAAGCCTAACTAAGCTTTCAGACAATATATCTTATTACACTGACAAACTTAAAAACCCTAAAGTGTATAACAACTTTAATATACTCATAAGTGCTAATTCTAAAATGGCAAAACCAGCCACTAAAGAAATATTAAATGAATTAACTAGTAAGATTGAAAAAATTGTAAAAGATGAAGACTTTGCTGTTATGCTTTCCCAAAAAACTCCTGGAAAACGTAAATATTACTTATATCGAAATTGTTAACCTTTAATCAGTTATTAACTTATTATATTTGTAATTAGGTTTAAATACAGTAAAAAAGAGACCACCTGTAACTATTACCAATGAATCCTCAGATGATGAAATTGAACCATTACAGTTGGTAACCAAACGAAGTGCTAGATGTCGTAGCAGAGTTAAAAGGAGACTTATCGAAAATGATAGTGAAGAAGAAAATGATGAAGAAATTGCTCGTACGAGTGGTGTAAGTAATGTTCAAAAGATTCTTCGTATTAAAGTCAAAGAAGATAGTGAAACTGACGATGAAAAAATTAATGTAATCAAACGAACTACAAGAAGGAATAAGTTTGGAAGTTTGAGTAAGAAAAATACTCGGCATGAATCCTAAATAATTACAACAAATTATCATTAATGTCTTTCTGTATTTTACTTATGGGATTTGTCAGTGTCCAATTATATTTTTA